TCTAAATGGTACTTCAACCCATCCATCTGTTTTACCACATGTTTATCTGCTTTTTCTTGCTGTACTTAAAAATCCTTGCCTTATCTAAATGTCAGGTTATAATAATATGATGCAAAGATAACATGTTATCAATAGGATACTCCTTACTCGTCAAATTAAAGAGTTATCTCTCAGTGGAACTACTAATTAGTCTCAAGACATGAACCCAGTGACAAAGGTGGTTACACTTTGTCAAATCCACTTGAGGTGACATTTTAAGGAAATATTGGAAGAAATAAGAAACGAATAGAAGTTTAGATAGGTAATTTAATCATATGAAGTGAGAATGATGTATGAAGGTACAGCGCAAAAGTGTGGACAAGGAGAGGGGGAAAAGAGAGGCCACAAGCGTTTATCCTTAATTTAGCCACAAGTTTTGCCTTTGATTGACGGCATCTGGAAATGTATCAAGTCAATGTTCCGGAGCCGTAAAAATATCAATTCTACTAAATCACTCCTATGCAGTTAATGGAGACTACGACTCTATTGAGTTATTTACCTGGGCAAAATGAAGAATGACAACCGGTAGTATATGCTTCGACACATGCGCCCTTTAGTATCATGAATATCAAAAAGTGTGTATTTAGTGAGTAGACGACTCGACCTTATTAAACAGTCATCCTTATGAGGCCATTTGTCTGGAAAATATACGAGCAAAGGTCAAATCGTCTTATCCGTTCGTTATAGACAAATGTGGTGTCGCTTACGCCTTAACCGTTAGCTTAAATAGCCCATCTTAGCTCCACCTAAACTCTGATGGTAATTAAACCTCAAACCACTTTTAGGTTGTGCCACAAAAAACAAAACCAACTGAATGAATATTCACGACAAACTGATATCATAACCTTTTCTAGTGGGGAAAAAGAGTGATTGTAATCGTTACAGCAGCAGAAATTGCACAATCAATTATGGTCGGCTGTCCTAAATATCACAAATAAACTATATACCACTTAAAGGAATACAAGTAGTGTAATCATTCTTCCAATTAAGAGGTTATCTGCCAGTCTTGAAGCAAGCCCAACGACAACCCTGTTGCAAACTAGAGTCTCTATATTTGCCCTCATGCTCATGCACTTAGGCCACATCACAATCTGAAATATCTACGCCAGTTACCAGAGAACTAACTCCTCAATTCTTCACCTTTTTTGTTGTCTCTAGAATTTCCTGAAGCTTCATACCTCTACCATCGCATATATCTACTTCATCAGGCAACATGAGATTTCCAGTTTCCTGGGACTTGAATATGACTTGCTGCGTCAATTGCTTGGTAACCATATTACGAGTAACATGCCAAGGCAGATAATGCTTCTAATTGGGTGATTCGGTGTCCATCCGCTGCCTTAGAGACTGAGTCATAGTGAGCTGGTCAGGCTGAGGCCCGAGTCGAAGTGATTAAGTTGAACAGTGAGCACCGTTTAATTCTGTATGTTGAGTTAATGATAAATTATGTAATATGAACTAAAGTCGAGAATAGGGACGACATTATTGGGCCGATGCTTGCATCAAAGCACGACATTTGTTTGGGAGACTTTTGGCTGCTTTCAGTGCTTTTGGTGGCGCAAAATTCGGTAGGCCAGTGTATTAATTTGTCCATCTCTCTCTGTCTCTATCTGAATTTCTGTGTACGTGTGTGTGTATCCAGGCCGGACTCGTTGCAATCGCTCATAATTCTATGTCACCTCACAAAATAGCCATCCTTTGTCACGTTATATGTTATCATATCATGTCCTCTTTCGAAGGGTTAAGATAAAATACATACGAAGGGTAGCAAGGTTTGAATGAATCGCTTAAAATGACATTGTTGTAAAGACTTGAATTTGTATGAATGCTCAGGATGAAAAAATTGGTTGCCTCATCTCGCCGGAAGATGACAGCTAAGTTCCATTGTAATGCCGTTTTACTAAGGCATTCAGGTTAAAGCATCCTCTCTCGTTTCGAGAAAAAAAAGGACAAACCTTTCGTAGATATGTAGAAAAATAGCAGCGACATTGCAGAGTCAAAAATATAAGTGATTTAAGGGACGATGCACTTGTTTGGTCCCAATTGTATCCACTCCACGCTTCACCTACAGCCACTTCACATGGCATCCGTGACCAAATCACTTTTTAACAAGCATGTAGAAAAGGCAGAGGATATCCAACCAAATCATGAAGTAACTCGTTAAGTAGAAAACGTTAAGCTATAGGAAATGGGTAGGATTGCAGGCGGCCACCTTTCTTGTCTTCGTGTTTTGGTGAATTTTAATAAAACATGATGTTCTGCTCCGACTTATTCGCACAAATCTACAGTCACAGCTCCAAATCAACCCCCTTTCGACTTTTGGTGAGGCCAATTTGTGAATCCCTTCGATTCAACTGTTCAAACGAAATGAAAAGTGATCCAACATCAAAAGATCAGCCTTTTACCCGTCATCAGAGCTGGAACTCATTTTGCAAACGTCTCAAGTTAACTCCAATTCAAAATGATCAGCCATCTTTAACTGACACTATAAATATTAAAAACTAAAAACAAAAATATATAGAAATAGGTTAAAGAAGAAGAGACATATGTAATTATTCTGAGTTATAGATGGTATTGTGTAAAGACATTAGTACAAGTACACACACGCAAACCGATACATTCAACTATAAGTACGTTTAGTTAGTTTCAGCTCTGATGCTGTTCGTCGAATGTCATGACGGAGGCCATTTTTACCCGAAACCAAGGGTCATATCTCGTAGATTGCATCAAATTGAACGTCGTAATATAGCCAAACGGCTGCCGAGCAACAGAGATCAACCGTCGTCTTCCGATGAGATCGACCTATGAATCCCTTTTATTACTAGCTTTCATTTAAATAAAAGTCTTCATATCAAAGTTAAAGTATTCGAGTATTGGAGTAAGTTTTGAGACTCATTAAATCTTGGATAGTAGTTGTAGTCACCCTAGGCCGCCTGGAGGGATGAAAGACTGTCTGATGAAACACATAGAATTTCATTTGGCCTCGCTCCTGAATGGATATCTTTATTTGCGAGAAAGGTTAAGTGAAACAAAATAAAAACCAGAGGCCTACTGATATATATAATTTGGGAAAATTCCCCTATCACCCCTTCACCAGTTTATGAGACCTATGGTTAGTAGAACTCTTTCTCTTCTCAATTTGGCCTTGTCTCTGCCAGAACCAACCAGGGTCAGAAATGAGAATAGAATTGAATCCATATTCGGTGTGAGTTGCCTTCGAGTCTGTCAGTCAGTTGATGTTGTAATGTGGAAAATGCAGTACAATCGAGAAGAGAAGATGTTACACGAATCAGGACATAGTGAATTTCACTTATTATCTTGAGGCCTAAGCATGTAATTGAAGCAAATGTCAACTTTTAGTCATTGCATCAACTTAAACGACCCAGGCCGACTCAAGCTTTTAGTGAAACATCGAATCCAGTTAGTCTTGATCCCCAACACCAAAATAACCCTACATGATCGTCTTTCTTCTACAAATTAAATTTGGAACAGCACCATCTTTTGTCTGCCTGTCATGCAATTAGTGACCAGAAGTTGTCGCCTCTTGCTGGCTGAACCAAGTGAGGCGTACTTCTTGCGGGCGAGCAGAAGAGGAGGCAAGCTCACAAGTCGGGTCATTGCGACATTTCCTCCATCATTGACAGACCGAGCTTGTGGCTATGCAATTGTGCTGTGGCGATAAATTGCCCAATGGAGTCGACAATGTTAACCTGTACACATACTCAATCAGCCAATCTACTACACACACACACACACACCAACGGCGTCCAGAGTCGCGTTTTCAGATCGAGTCCGGCAATCTCCACTCGACCTGTCCTTTATCTCTTCAATTCCAAGCGACCAGTTCACTGGTCCAGTGGAACTGGCTGATACTTTTTTATTATTTCCTTCATCCTCTTGAAGAGGCTCCAGTTGCCACCAGTTTGATGCATCTATTGGACAGTCTCCCTCCCTTTCCGCTGAGCCTATGCACAAGCCACACCCATTTTCCGGCCACTTATTACCTCGGCATCATTATAATTGTGAATATTATTGATGCTATTATTATTATTTTCGCCTTTCCACTCGTGGTCTTAGATATGCAAATTTGTGTCTGTCTGCATGTGGGTCTTTGTATATGTACGCTTGTGCATAGTTGCGTGCACATTGGTATCATTGTGTGTGTGTGTAGATGTTTATTTGTTTCGAACTTGTTTTTGTCGAGCCCAGCTCACCTCAGGAAAGTGTCGACAGTATAGGTCTTTTATTCACTTCCCCGTTAATCATCTTTGGCCCATGTTTGATGCAATTTGTCCGGATAGCCCACTCTTCCTTCCCCACCTTGGCACCTATTCGTGTATATGCATGTGTATATGCGTAGGTGTATGTGCATGCATTTGCGTGTGCGTATGTCTACGTGGATGCCCGGGCGTTTGTCAAGTCGCTCGCAAAGGTCTCGGCCAGGAGGGCAATATTAAGAGCTGCCGTTGACTGTTGGCGAGAGTGAATGACGGCATTCTCGGGAGCCGAAGGGTACCGGAGGGAACCTGAATTGCCCCATTTGCCTCCACTCCCACGTGCCCCCGTCACCTGAGCCTCGATTTCCTGTCGGGCGCCTCAGTTTGTTTCATTGGCCCCTCGAGAGCAGGCACTTGCGGCCCTCGGGACTCCACATTCACCGACCGGGTCCGCAAATGCCTTGAGCTGGGCGACAACAATTACGTTAATACAATCTCCTCTTCCCGTGGCTGGGCGACCAATTACTGTACTAGCCCCCAGTACGCCGGACGCAGTTATTGCCTGCGTTTGGGGCAGAAAGAGTCAATTGGGCAAAGAGTTGGAGTGCTCCCGACACTTAAGAAGAAGCGCCGAATCCGATTTTCACCAGTCGACTCCTCACTCTCCGCGAGTTGAGGAAACTTCCTCGCAAAATCAATAGCGCTACAGTTCTCTTTGGGCGGCGAAAAATCATATCACACATGCATACATTCACATATATGCATCTATTCAAACACACTGATAAATCTGCCGTATTCGCGTAACTTAGGAAAGCAGGAGTCGACTGTCCTCCAGCAAACACTCGGTACAGGCTATAGGTACCCTAAATAGAATGAACAGAGTGACATCGCGCAAACATGCACATACATGCAAACACATATGCATAAACACACAAGTGTATATACATATATATTACCATACATATAGATAGACATACAAATAGATTCACCTGAATATATGAGCACACACAGACAAGCATCCGACTGAACTTACAGAATTCTTAGAAATTCAAAAGATACTGGGTGGACTGAATGTATACGTATCTACATCAATATGTGCAGAAATATAGACATAACTACCTATTTACACTATTTCATTCAAATTTAACTTTTATACAATTATGCAGGGATACATGTATATATATAGAGAGAGATAAAGGAATACACAAACATGCATACATGCATACACCATAATACAGACGGATAAGCATACTTTGCTGAATTAATTACATTCTCAGAATTTGAGAAGGCACTGGGTTGACTCTTTTGTGCTTTGGACACAAGCGATTGGTGCCCCAAGCAGTCCGACTGACCATGGCCATTGTTGAGCTTACTTCCATTTCGAGTGAAAGTGTTTGGTGAAGACATTCGAAGGTCGGTTCCACCAGAAGACGACGGCGAATTCCTCTTGACCAGTTGTCGATTGGCTTACTGGAAGATTCATGCGGACACTGTTTCCGAGGCAATCTCCTTCGATTCCGGTGAACTCGTGCTGAGCTTTCGTCCGTCATATGACGAAAAGCATCAGAGCAAGGTATCATCGTCACAACCAAAAATGTCAAGAAGAATCACCGAAAAATCCCTAAAAAGTGGTTCATATATTCTACAGCTAGCCTCTGATCAAGTATGAAGTGATTTGGTTAGTTACGCTCATATGTCAACCACGAAGCCTGAGAATTTTTCAGTCTCTATATGTGTATCTGCATGTTTGTGATCTCTTATGCAGGAAACCCGCAGTGATGGTTCAAAGGGATCAGGACAGCAAAAATAGCGCCTGTTTTCGGCTATATTTCCCTCTTTCTACATTTAAGTTATAACCATCAATCCGATTGCGCAAGGTCGGACACTTGTATGGTCCTGTTGCTGGGGTCATTTTTTGTTTTTCGTCTCAATGCGAGAGAAAAAGAGTGAGCTAAAAGTACAGAGAAGTGACGGTCATTAGAGCCAAAACAAGAAAAGACCAGTTGCGTCGCCTCCTTTTGGCAGGCGGCACAAGTAATTTTTACTTATCTTCTTACCAGCATTCCTTACATTCAATGAATTTCTTATTCGGTTTATTTATATGGCTTCTCTAATTTTACGTTTAGCCGCAGACATGCCATAATCAGGAAAAAGAAGAGTTTGAGGCGATTCAATCTCGTGTCCCGTTTCTGGTATGTGCTCAGCCAGCTCCGATTTTTTAACTCAACAGCATTTGCAGGCGCTTTTGTTCTCAGCCACCCTTTGTCGAATGGGACGACAAGTCTCTTCAACATAAAAACGACCACATGAACACATAATTTTGTAGCAACCCGATCTGGAAAATGGGTCAACTTTCCCTCTAAAAGTGGGCATAACTGAAGAAAGTGTCGTTTCCCTGAAGACCGTTTTTATTCCCCACTTCCTTACTTGTTCACCTCTCCTTTTAGAGAGAATGAACCAAGGTAAAGACAAAACTTGAGAACAGGTCTCCCTATCTCTCCGTACGTATTCACCATTCAAAAAGCTATTCTTTGTTAATCTAATTTTATTTTCAATCAAGCCTACGGGATAATTATTCTCAAGAAATATTATTTTGAGGCAATTCAGTCCATTGACACAATGGCCTCTATCGGCTAGTCTTATGCTCCGAATAATCATAGATTTTAAAACTCCAACCTTTGTTTTGTAACTATG